CGAGGATCTGAAGTCATCCAAGAGAATCTGGGACACTTCAGAAGAGTCTTTCAGAAAACAGAAGACTGTGACAAACATCTCCACAATCTCTAGTGGAGAGAGATCCTGTCCTCGCTCCATGTTCTCCACACAAAGGGCTACACATCCTTTGTCTAGGTAGTGGCAGTGAGAAATAGATGTTACTTCAGGGTCTTGAAAAAACTGATACCCATATTTAATGATCTCTGGGATTTTAATGCATAAAACGGTTTCAAAAACTACAATACAATGCAGTTACCTCACATTTCCAGAAAACCAAATCACAGTATCTACTAACTATGAATATAGCTGACAACGGGTTGTGAGAGGCCATGTCTAGAGAGCGTCATGAGTACTTCCGCTGCGCTCTTCCTCCAGAGAGCATTATGCTGTGGACACCAAGATGTGATGGCCGAGAAGAGAAGTGTTAGGTCATCCTTCCGGGCCAGTTCCTCTGCTGGGGCGGCATGGGAGCACAGACGAACCAAAAGCTGTGGAAGAGAACAGATAGCAAAACATGTAAAAATAAAACAAAGAGAGGAAAGGCCATTAAGAACTTAAAGCAAAACACAAACTTGCAAAATATGGACCTACCTGTACAAAGACCTTTTGCAGCAAGATCCTTCTCTCACTGACAGAAAAATCTGTTGCATTATTGTCCGCCTGATCTGCCACATTGGTCGTTGGGCTCTCGTACTCAGGAAGGTCAAAGAAGAGGTAGAGGCATTTCACAAGCGTTGATGGAAGGGAAGCAGCTGTCATCACCTGAAATGCGAAAATAATAATAATGATAATAAAAAAACAATTTTGTTGATATTATCTAATTTTTTACCACTCCACCTTTCAATTTTTCTCTTGCATTTCTGTTCTTTAAATCATTCTTATCCTTTTCATATCTACTCTCACCTTCTCACCTATTTCTCCCTCTTTCCACTCTATGTCCTACTTTCTCCTATTTTCCTTTATGAATTTCATATCATTTATTTTTCTTCTTAGACCATCTTAAATTACAAGTAAAGTTTTTATATAAGTCTACCTAAAAATTAATTACACATTTTTCTTAATGACACTAAATCATAATCATGGTTCACTAAATGTTTTTTTTTTTTTTTTTTTTTTATCTGCAATATGGAAACTAAATCAACGACTACTACCGCCATCACTAATTACAACGAAAATAATACAACCACCAATACCACCACCTATACCAACTCCACCACCCAAACCAACCCCATAATCCCAACCCCCACCCCACCAATACCCTACTCCTATCCCTCCCCACCAATACCCCTACTCTACCCCCTCCCACCAATACCCTACCTTACCCCATCACCCCACCCCACTCCAACAACAGCAACACCGGCCACAAACCTCAATCAGCTGAGGTGCACCGGCGGCCAGAAGATTCAGCGTGGACAGCAGCATCCACCCATTGCTGCTCTCCTCACAGCTCTCTATCTCCAGGAACCTCACAATGGCACAAGAAGCCGCTTCCGTTGACTGGTTGGAGGCACGCCGTCTGATCTCCGTCACCATCAATTTGCTGAGAAAGGGAAAAATTATAAATTTCATTCATATATATATATATATATATACGCATATATATACGTATATATACGCATATATACGTATATATGTATATACACACACACACACACACACACACACACACACACACACACACACACACACACACACACACACACACACACACACACACACACACACATATATATATAATATATATATATACATATATTATATATATATATATATATATATAATATAATCTATATTATATATAATATCTATCTATCTATCTATCTATCTATCTATCTATCTATCTATCTATCTATCTATCTATCTATCTATCTATCTAATCTTATCTATATGTATGTATGAGTGAGTGAGTGAGTGAGTGAGTGAGTGAGTGAGTGAGTGAGTGAGTGAGTGAGTGAGTGAGTGAGTGAGTGAGTGAGTGAGTGAGTGAGTGAGTGAGTGAGTGAGTGAGTGAGTGAGTGAGTGAGTGAGTGAGTGAGTGAGTGAGTGAGTGAGTGAGTGTGAGTGGGTGGGTAAGTAGATGTTATACTTGTAAAATCACTGGAATCTGGACAATAAGAAAAAAGTGTTAACTTCACTTTTCAATACCTTCAGCAACCACATACTAGACCTTTTAAAGCTCAAACAACTTACCTGACATGTTGTGTGAATAGTAACACGTCTCCAAACTTCTCCTGTAGATCTGAGGTTGGACTTGAGCCAAAAACCTGAAATGGATCATTTCAATATAACAAGCTAGATATTAAGGCGACTGTGCAGCAGTCATAATTGTTGAGAAAATGTGATGCAAATCTAGGTACGAGATAAAGCGTATACAGACTCCATAGAAGTCTGGATTAATATTATTCATTGGTTATACACCAAACAGTTGTGTGGATTCTTACAGCTAGATCTAGCACTATTGAGTAAAAACATAATTTAAACAAAATTTTAAATATCTCTGGAACTACATTTTTTTCTGCCATTGCTGATTGGTTGGTGCAATTGGGAAGTAATTTTATTGCTATAATTCTGCCAATGTGTTCATAGAAAGTGTTTTGGCAGAACTTTTTGTGCTTGTATACATGTGCATGAAATATATTTCACTGTCACACATGTATACGCACGCACACGCACACAAACGCACATGCACACTTACGCAAGCACGAACACCAACCTTGCAGAAGAGGGGTAGCATGTTGTAGAGCTTATCCTCTTTCTCGGGCTCTGAGAGTGGGTGGGGTGGGTACGAGTACTCGCTGAAGAGCTTCTTGAGGTGCATGAGGCCCAGAGCCAGGTGCTGCTGTGCCGCCTGCGAATTGGCCGTGTCTCCCCCTTCCATGCCTCCTACTCGTCCACCGGACCCCCACCATTTCCTCATGATGTTCATTTTCTTATAGGAGCAAAAGAAAGGAATATCAGAATGTGGTGTCATAATGACTAAATATATGATTAATACATCAGTGATGATGATATCCTGTAATACAAAAAAGAAATTGGAAAAAAATCCTAAAGAAATATAAATAAATAAAAATGTATATAAACACACATCCTA